GCGGGCCGCGGCGCTCAGCCTGCCAGTGAGCTGCGGCGGGCACACCCCGCGCGGCGGCGGCGACAGCGGACAGGTTAGAGTGGGGGCAGGGGCGGGCGCGGGAGCAGCCCGGGGCCCGAGAGGGAGCCCGAAGCAGGCCATCTCCAACCATGTCCGACGAGGCGTCGGCCACCACCTCGTACGAGAAGTTTCTAACCCCCGAGGAGCCCTTCCCGCTTCTGGGACCCCCTCGCGGGGTGGGCACCTGCCCGAGCGAGGAGCCAGGTTGCCTGGACATCAGCGACTTCGGCTGCCAGCTCTCATCTTGCCATCGCACGGACCCGCTCCACCGCTTCCACACCAACAGGTACGAACGGCCGCTGGGGGCAGGGGCCGATCGCCCGCACCCTGGCCGCCGGGTCGCCGCCGGGTCTGGCCCTTCGCCCCGGGTCTCTGCCTCCATTCGCCCCCTCCCCCACCTTTCTCCGACCCGCGCTCGTTCCCGGGCTCCTTCCCGCTCCCCTCCGTCTTCACCCCTGCCCTCCTATTTTTCCTTTGGCCGGCATTTTACTCTCTCTTTTCCCCCATTCATCTGCTCACCATAGCGACTCCTCCCTTCCCCCTCCCGCCCCATCTGTACCCTGCGAATCCCAAACCCCCACCCTTGATTTTTAGATGCTCCCCTGTTTCCATCCACCCGCAAAAGTTTAACCCCTTCCACTTCCGGTACGCTATTAGAGTGGATTTCGGATGGCTCAAAATCAATCCATGGATCTTTTGAAAGGTGGCACTTGGAAAACCAGAATCTTCCTTTCCCCAATTTCTAACCTGTCTCGCAGCCCTATTTCCACCCCCCACTCCCCATTTTTTAGTGAAGCTCTAAGAAGCTAGACGATTATTTTTTTTCTCTTTCTCCTTTATGAACTCTTTGCCTTAGCGCTTTAGGCCCTGCCAAAATGTATAAGCTTAAATCTGGAAGCTTCCTTCATGTAGCATATCCCATGGTTTGCTCCCCCAGTGGAGGGATGGAGCGAGCTTTGGGATGGAGCGAGGCGGGCTTGCTTAAACAAATTTATTCAAAGGATGCACCCCCTAACTGGTTTTATTGGAAGGTAGAGTGTTCTGGAGAATTATATCATGCAAGCGTTTAAGTGTTACACCAAACGTGGGGGATTTGAAGATGTTTTACACATAGCCCCAACCTTTAATATAGGTGGATGAGATATATATACAAAGGCCTGGGAGGGTGTGTGGAGAACAAGGGAGGAGGAGAGGGGTTCAGCTATGGAAAATACTGGAGTTAAATTAAGGAGTCTAGTTCTGATTTCTGATCCAATTTACAATATGAGCATGAAGAAATCCTTCAACATTTTAATGTGTTCTGCATGTCCCTCCCACCTCTTAAATCAGTCTACGGATTTACTGAGTTTCTACCAGGTACAAGGAAACTATAAAACATGATTCTTACCTAAAAGAAAGTTTTAGTCTAGAAGCAAGGTGTTATAGTTAAATAATCATACAGAACATCAGTATAACACATTTGAAAAGTGGCAGTAAATTTGTTATGACTATTCCAAATCCTCATTGGAAAAAATAGCAAATCGAGGCCTAGAGAGAAAAGACTGAGTTCAAGGTCATAAAACCGAGTTAGGCAAAGCCAGGACTACTCGGTTGGAGTCAGTGATGAAACTTGGAACAGAACTAGTGGCTCCAGTGTTATAAATGGTTGTTACAGTTTCTTAGACTAACTCCCGGAAGACTGTTCAACTCATGATATGACTATAACATGAATGTAACATACTCATGAAACCAAGTGTGTTTAGGATTGTTTGCACCGGAAAATAATATAAGAAATACTGTTGCACGTATTTGATATTTAAGTTTTGTAGCATTGAAACAAATCGTATACACAGAAAAGTTAAATGATTTCAAAATTAGCCTGCTCTGATGATGAGGGCAAGGGAGTGGGGACAGAGGCTGAGGGTAAGCACAGCCAAAACGGGTGGGGGTGATGGGGAGTGAAGCAAGGAGAATAATACATTTCTTACAGCTTGTTCTCTTCTTTCTCCTCCTCCCCATTTTTTCTTTGTGTTTTTCTACCCTTCTTAGAGACCATGGCAAGTCAGGGTTGTTTTCCAGAATGGGGCAGTGAAGATAGAGGGGGAGGTTCCTGTTCAGTCCCAGTTTTTCCAAGCCAAGCATTATTTTTCCTAGTGACAGCCTGCTTTTTTAAAACCTCCCTCTCCTACCCTACTTTTCACAGGGCTTGGAATGGCAGTAGGAGGTCCAGTGTATCTTGTTCTGTACCCTTTTCTGCAGAGATTAGGGGAAGCAGAATCAGCAATACTTAACTGCAGATGATGTTTCTGCTGAAGGTTACCTTGCCTTTTCTCCTTCTGGAATGTTCTGCCTTCTTACCCCTCCTCAAGATGGCGTTTGAGAGGACCATATGCTTCCAATCATTTCACGGAGAAGCAGACAATTAAATCAAGTTTAGTTTAGGGAGTTCTTTTATTTTGGATTTGTATGTGTCACTTTTTTTCTCCACATCACATCATTCACCAATTCAAGCAACAATCCAAAAATCAATCTGAGTAGTTGAGTACTGATATTCTGCTTTGGGTTTAGTCATTAAAAACAAATTTCATTGAAAGTAGAAAGCTTGTCAGTGGGTAGATGCTTGATTTGCCTTTAGTTTGCTTCTTCCTTGTTACCTGATAAGAAAACTGTGGAGATTGTTTAAATAATGCCATTGATAAGGGCCTCAGGATGATGACAATTTTGGGCCTGCTCCTTTACCGGAATCTGGGCTATATTTGCAATTTTCATTAACCTTGAGAGTCAGGGCACTATTACTTATGATCCTTAAGGTTGAATGTTTGTAGTGTTCAGATTAGAGTCATCTGTGACTTAGGTCAGTCTGTCACTGGTCTAGGTTCAGTGGAAAATAAATTACATGAACACAGCCAGTTTCCTAAGAATTCACACTTTCCTAGGAGTATCTTTTAGGATTTTATGACCAAGTTGGGTTTGTCTGGAATTTTGGAAGAATAAAATAAATCTCAGTAAGCCAAAAACTTAATTATTTTTTTAATTGAAATATCAGTTTGACATATATATGTGTTTAAGTGTTTAACACATTTTTTTTTGGTTTTAAGGACAGGATTTTTCTGACGTAATTGTGGGTTTTCTCTTTGCATTTGTCCACTGTGACCCTCCACCATCATCAAAAAAGGATGTCATTTAGCAAATTGAAAAAAATTATAATGATATTGATAGGTCCTATAATTAAATTGTGAGATGAAGGAGGTTAATATGAACTACTCCATGTGTTCTTCTCTTCGTCTTTCAGGAGTACATCAGTACTTTGACACTGAACAATTGTGAAAAGCGTGTGGAAGGACAGTGCCTCACTTTTGTACACCCTATTGGCAGGATACGAAATGAACTATTGTATAAAACCGTTACTCAGTTATATGATTTTTTTAGAGCCCCATTTTCAGTCACCATTAACCAGAAAAACCCCAAGACTACTGTGTGCCCTTTGTACTACCCACAGTTTTCCTATCTCAGTATAGAATTAGAGATGGGGAAGAGCTGTGAGTTGCAGGTGGGAGAACCACGTTTCATGAAGTGAGACAGGTTACAGAGGCAGGAGGAGTTTGGTTGGGGGACTTGTTGAGACAAGCTGAGAATGAGAATCAGGCTTTGGAGAACTATCCAGGCTAGAAATGTAGATTTGGGATTAATCGAAACAGAAATTCTAGTGGCATGATAGGAGTGGAGCTGTGGGTTACAAAGGTTGAGAGAGTACAAGAACCTTTTCAATAAATTTAGCAGGGAAAGGAAGGAGAGGAGGTGTAATAATTAAAAAAAAAAAGTGAAGATTTCTTCGTTTGTTTTTTGCCTTGTTTAGTCTTTCTTTTCCAAGAACAGAGATTATAGCTCCTTGGAAGCAGCCCACAGGATAGGGAGAAATTGAAAATACAAAAGAGAGTGGGATGACAAGAGATGGATGGGATAAACCCAGAAGCCCAAATGGAAGAATTAGCCTTAGAAATGACATGGGATGTTTTTTACTTCCAAGACTGTAGAGGGGGTAGGAGGGATGGGTAACCATCCCAAGACAGTTGAGGTCGCTGGGAGGAGAGGTGGGAATTTGAGTGAGTAGAGTAGGGGGGTTGTGTCATCTGCTCTAACTTGGGACCCTGATGGCCTTTTGGGCTCCAGAGGAGTAGCAGAGGTCAGGGTGGCTGTATCGGGATTCTGGCAGGGAGTCAGTGATGAGTACAAGTGATGATAGGGGACTGTTCCCTGAGAATGAAGGCATGGCAAGGATTTGGAATGACTTTAATCAGCTTGACAGTAGGACTTGATTCCACAGTGTTCATTGGCTGGATTCTCATCCTGAGAGGTAATAGTTAGGTCTACCTGAGAGACAAAGGGCTGCAGAAGAATGTGTATAGGCTTTTCTTTTTTTTTTTTTTTT